AGCGCCTGAACGAATGTACCGATTTCAATGAAACTTCGCTAAAGTCATTTTCTCTACACCCTTTAAATTTATCTATATAACATACTTCAACGAAAGGAAGCTGGAAAACAAATTACGAGGGATGGTAAAATTAAATTCGGAATAACTTAAAAAGTATACACTTTTTTGTTGATATTGTTTTTTTTTTTAAAGTTAACGGAATTTCCTAAAAAAAATCGTTAAAATATGACAATTAAGATATATGGTCTCTAGTTTTTTTTTTATAGTTCTGTTGCAAAGGCTATATCCATTGTTTTAATTTTTTAATTTTGAATGTGTTACTTAGGTAATGCTAATTTTTTTAGCATATTACTAATGATAAAAAAAGTTTAGCCCATTAATTGGAATCATCTTTTATTTATTTTCCTTTGTAGCTAGGAAGGTAATGTTACTTTAGATGTTTAATTGTTTGGAAATAATAAACCATTGTGAAATAATTTGCAGCGTAGCGTTTTTTTTATGAATTTGTATTATTCATAAACTTTCTGGCTTGTTTTTTTTATACATATTTTTATTTTGTTCAGTTCTCCTATATGTAATATATAATATATTTATCTCGAAAAAATATGTGTATGTTATAAATAATTAGTACAATTTTCTTGGTTTACTCAAAGCTTTCGATGGCGTTACCTGCACAAGGCTGTTCAGTTACGTGCAGGCTCTTTGGAAATTGTGTAAGCTACCTGTTTTATAATTTGTTTTATTTTATTGTAGCTTCTTCGTTTATAGTTTTGTGGGGAGGGAGAGGGCTGTTAGGTTTCACTTGAACACTTTCCAAATTTAGATTTCGGTTTTAAACGGCTCTTTGTCCAATAAGGACTTCCTCTCATCCGATGTCTTTTTACGGTATGATAAAAACCGAGTTATTGCCGGCTGACCACTTTTTATCCCTTCTTTTTTTGTTCGGGTCGAAATGCAAAAAGTAAAACAAAAAAAGAGGAATAGATATAAAAATAAAACGCCACTTTGCCTTCCTGAACGGTCGAGTAAAGTAAACCACAGTAAGAGAGGTGTCGTAAAACGACCCAAGTTGTAATAGCCGGGCCCGATGGATGACTTCGGTAGTGGCTTAAGGCGTCGCTTTAAAGGTACAGGTAGCGGTAGGTATTGATAATGATTGGGTTCGTGTTCAGAATGGATGTTGTGAGGAGGAAGTGGGATGAAGTTTATAAAATTATTAACAATTATATTTTCTACAGAATCATAATATTTATTCATAGTATATTTAAAAATCTTTAAATTTGTGACAGTGGAGATTCTCCAGTCAAGCCATTTAGGTGTGATTATAGCGCCTTAGAGTTAGAAGCGCTGGGATCTTCTAGAGTCCTGCCTTTCCTTCCACGAGTGGGGAGAAAGGATTGGGTTGGGGATCTTGAATAAATGTTTTTTTTATTTTTTGATATTGTATGTGTGTATGTGGGTGGTTATTTTTATTACTTTAGTTTATTTTTGTTTAGTTTAGTTTATATACGGGTGGGACAACATCCGTGCTGGGCTATGCTGATGATCTGGTACTGTTAAGCGAAGATGTTGAAACTATAAAACTAAATACGAAAACGTTAATGAAAGCCGGTAAAGAAATAGGACTCGAAATAAACGTGGATAAAACAAAATATATGGTTAGCTGCAAAAATGGCGATACTACTGGTGATATCGATATAGATGGTAATATGTTTGAACAGGTAGATAAATTTAGGTATCTAGGTTCTACGATAACTAGAAAAAACGAAATTGAAGAAGAGATTAAGGTTAGACTGAAGGTGGGAAATGCTTGTTATTTTTCTATGACAAAACTACTTAGTTCGCGCCTCTTGTCCCGAAACTTAAAAATTAGTATCTATAAAACAATTATCTTGCCTACAGTCCTTTATGGATGCGAAACTTGGCCGCTTACATTAAGGGATGAACAGCGTCTTAAGGTTTTTGAAAATAAAGTATTGCGTAGAATATTCGGACCGAAGAAGGATGAGTTAACCGGAGAGTTCAGACGGTTACACAACGCCGAATTGCGTGAGCTGTATCCGGGTAATATAATTGAGGTAATTTCATCGCGGCGAATCAAATGGGCTTGTAAAGTTGTTGGGCTTAGTAACGAGAGAATTCCTAAAAGGTTAATATTTGCTATGCCGAATGGTAAGCGTCCGAGGGGTAGACCGAAGCGAAGGTGGGAAGATTGCATTAAAGCCGATCTGAAGGGACTGGGTTTGGACGGCGAACGGTGGAGGGAGGTGTGTAACAAGCGATTGGTGGTATCGGCATCGAACCTTCGGGTTCGCTAAGCCTTATTATTATTATTATTATTATTAGTTTATATACATTTAGTTTTAGTATTATTATTTTTCTGTATTATTTATTTTTAATTATTATTGTTAGAGCGTTAATGTGCTCTCTGAACACTATTATAAATGTCCTTATTTGTGAAACATAGTAAAATCTCTCAATAAAAATGTTTAAAAAAAACTTATGACTTTTTCCTCATCTTTATATGATTAATGTATGAGATTTTAAGAGAATTTTGAGGGGGGAAAATGAGTTTCTGATGTAATTATATCTGTGGTCCAAGGAAATAAGTAATTGGATCATATACGGTATAGGCTGCATTTATTTCACCATGTTTTATTTTCGAGATGGGCAATTAGCACACCGATCAATTATTAGGAGGAAATAAAATTGCCAGGATTTACAGTCAAGATTTTTTGTTAGGTTAGCCGACGTTTCGATCAAAACATGTGGATCATCCTCAGGGCTATCTTTTGGGAGTCGAGGAAAGAACTGCTATGGTTTATTGTCCTTTTATTTACACAGGCTATGTTTTGGCTATGAAGCGGATTTTAAATGCCGATGAAGCCTCTATAGTTCCGAATCGAGCGGACCTCCAGTTGAATTGAAGAGCAGAAATAATCCTGCCAAGGATCCGAATCGGCCACTCACGAGTACATAATGACAAAGGAGAGATACCCACCCCCTCAGTGTTTCTCCTACGAGGTCAATCTAATAGTGAGGTACATTTTGACTGAATGTTATGCATATGAAGCACACCGGAATGAAGTTGGAAAATGATCTTACTGCAATTCAGAAAAACACCACCAAATTGGCAAAATAATTGTTTACATTCCTTCAAATAACGCACCTATAAAACAAAATTAGGAAATTAAAATTTTGCTGACTCTTTTTTGGAAGTTGTAATGTTTAAAATATTTTGTACTTTCAATTTATCGTTAAATTTCATCTGATGTAATATAAATAATGTGTAAGGGCTAAAATGGCACGTAAGAGATTGAGGAGCCCGGCATTGTTATAAATAAATACACTTTTAATTACACAGTATCGAAAGCACAGAGTGTTTCGTAATTGCACGGTACTACTTTAGGTACGTGTCCAAAATAAACAAAAAAATTCATATTAAAATATATCTCAAACTCATCATGGGAGACACCATAAATTTATTCACTTTTTCAGAACAGACATGCTTTTAACTTATGGTGAGGTACATAGAAACGGTGCTGCTGCAAAATGAATAAATTTATAGTGTCTCACATGATAATCATAAATTGAACCGTGTCACAGTATTCACTCACACTAAAACACACAGAACTAGACAAACAGATATAGCTTATAAAGAGAAAAACTGGTCACCTAAAGAAAACACAAAATTTGAATTAACTTATTTTTCTTAATTGGTAATTGGTTGACTGTCGTGGATAATGAAGAGAAGAATAGTTGGGGTGGTCAGTCAAAAAGGAAGGCAAAAATAAATGATAATATTTATTTTTTTACATATGCCGACGTTTCGACCTGAAGTTCAGGCCTTCATCAGGGCTAAGAAAATAACCTTGTTATCTGGTTATTTTCTTAGCCCTGATGAAGGCCTGAACTTCAGGTCGAAACGTCGGCATATGTAAAAAAATAAATATTATCATTTATTTTTGTCTTCCTTTTTGACTGACCACCCCAACTATTCTTCTCTTCATTAACTTATTTTTCGTTTATAATCGAACCACGCATCAACTGAACGTTTTTGTCGGAAACTATGTATAAATTAACCTCCCACGGTTTGGTCATTAAGAACTGAATCATGTAAATTAAAAGGATTAAAAATAGTTGCAAAAAGTTAAATCTAGTTCTGAACAAATGTTTTAAGGTAAAGTGTAATACATATACAAACATCCAACTAATTCTGTTAACTAACTATATTTTTATTATTATAAAATAAGGTTATGTTTATTTTTTCACCATATTTATTTTAATTTTCATAGCTACGTTTCGGCCGGTAAACCATCTTCAAGCCATTTTATTTAACCATGCTTTTTGCATATAGTCCAAAGTCTATACTAATTAGACTTTGAACTACAGAGCCATATTAAAAAAAATTTCACCTAAAACAAGCACATCTGGATATATTTTTATTAAAAAATATAAAACTTCCTCATTATTTTATATAGCTTCTACCTTTTTTTCCAGAGTAAAAACCATAAGGAAAAAAAATGAAATCATCCCCAGAAATCCTGAATCCGCTACTGGTGGCCAAGTTTGATTCCTATTCCTACAAGGCACATAGACAGTTCCGGACCATGGGGTGTTGTTGTATTTAGAGAGAGGAATCTAAATAGATTAGTCGAGGAGAAGCAGTAAACACAGTAAGATCCCCACCCACCCCTAAATCATAGCCCGCTCCGGCCTAATGGTCAGCGAGAAGACAAACAGAGGACACAGCGCTGATAACCATGTCCAAGACTAATCTGCAAGAAGTGGAGGATGGTAAGAGCGCGATAACTGACCCACCGCTAATTGGCCCTTCTAATCAAATCCAGGACCCTTTGGGATGACCAACAGTCTTGGAGGTCCAGGACCCTCGTTATTTATACCTTAATCCCTTATGACGCACCCTCCTCCCGGGATTTGTAAAGACTTGACATCAATTTTTCCCCGAGCCGGGGCCGCCCTTAGCACTCTTATAATTAATGACCGCTCGCCCCAAGCGGCTGTTCTGCCTCATCCTTCAGCTCTTCGGCTCTTCCATGTCCGCCGCGTCGTGTCATCTTAATCGCTCGGCATCCTGGGTTCCCTCCCTCCGGGGAGTCGCAGTGGCTGCAGCGAACCGGCTAACCTACTCGAGGGTTTTCTTTCCTCTTCAACAGCGGAACACTTAAAAAAAGTTAAAACGATCTTAAAGGAGGCCATGAAAAATATTATATCAAATGACCGAAATTAAGTATGTTCGCGGCAATCAATACATAAATAAAATTACAGACCATTATTCGCTGTTAAAAACAGTAGGGAATGGCTACATGTAAAAGAACTTAAAAAAGATTGAAAACAAGTATCTGGTGTGTCCACTCACACGACTTTCCTACCTACCTATTTCAGAAAAGTTTTTATATCTTTACGTAAGTTTATGAAGAAACAAAAAATAATTGAACTAGATTTATTTTTCTGAAAATTGATCAAAGAAAAGATTTGAGTATTTGATAAATTAAAGCAATGTAAACCGGCTGAAGATAGATCAGTGTGAAAATTTCAATACTCTCTAATATTGCTGATCAAAACATTTTTGCCATAGCTTAGTATTGTCAAACAATAATTTCTGTTTTTTCATATTTTAGGCAATAAAACTTACAATCTTCATATTTTTTTATTTATGCTTTTTGTCTCTTACGTTTCGGGACAATTTTCCCATCATCAGAGTAATATTTTAATTTTTACATTCTTTTTTTGTTGATGTGGCACCATTTGTCAAAAATTAAATATTTGTCACATTTTTTAAAAATTATTTGGTGTTACACATATTCATTCATACACTAATCAACATCTGGCTATTTTTAGTTTTATTTTATAGGCAGAAATAAAACTAAAAATAGCCAGATGTTGATTAGTGTATGAATGAATATGTGTAACACCAAATAATTTTTAAAAAATGTGACAAATATTAAATTTTTGACAAAAATTTTTGCCACTTCAACAAAAAAAGAATGTAAAAATTAAAATATTACTCTGATGATGGGAAAATTGTCCTGAAACGTAAGAGACAAAAAGCATAAATAAAAAAATATGAAGAAGATTGGAAGTTTTATTGCCTAAAATATAAAAAAATTATAAACGTAAGCTTCCTAATAAAAAAGAAAAATAAGAAGATAATTTCTGTTAAAAGTAGAGGAAATAGTAAAGCTTGTGTGATGCGGACCACAGATTTCTTTACTTTCTGTTAGTTATCTTTTTTTCTCTCATTCTCCCATTTCTGACACCAGGATATGAACCCGTAATCGTACATTGGAAATAGAATAGCTGTAACTTCGTTAATAGTTGTCCAAAATGGACAAAATCGACTCAGTAGTTCCCGAGAAAATATTGGCACAGATAGACAGACCAATGGCTAAAACTGTGTTTTTTGGACTCAGGGGGCTCTGAAACGTATAGATCCGTCGAAAACCGCATATCGGAAATTTGACCCGATTACAATACTTTCCTTACCTAGTGATAGGTAAGAAAGTAAAAATGTAGAAAAGAAATCTACATCCTATCATTTACAACTCAATTCTTGGGACAACAGTACGAGAGGATTCGACGATTTGATAATATAATTAATATATCTTGCGAGCTGTTAGCAGAGATCCTGAAGTCCGCTATCACGATTTTCATTATTAAAAGTTCATTATTAAGTCTTTCCAACTTACCGACAAGACCCGAAATCGATCTTTACTAATAATAATACTTATTATTTCAGCTGCATTGTCACCCACTATATCTCTGATATCATCTTTTTATTTCTGTATCAGACAACTTCTTCTTATTTTATATCTACTTATATTAATTTATTTTATTTTCACCATGTTTTGTATCTTTTGTAGCCCTGATGAAGACTTGCAAAGTGAGTCGAAACGTCGGCAAAAATTAAATAATTACTATTTGTTTAATTTAGTATTTATTTGAACGAACCCCCTGATCAACTCCTTCTCATACTAAATAATTAAATATTAAGTAATACTAAGGCTAGATTAATAAATATAGCTTTAACTAAACGTATTAAATTATTTATAACATGTTATTATTTATTTAAATAAACATTTTTGTTTTGAGACCGCAGTTACGTCACGGTGGCCACATGCCGCCTAGAGGCCGTAGGTTGCCCCTCTATAGCATATAATAATATCCTTAAATATATTAGAATTATTATAATATCTAGATTTAAAAATATAACTAACCAACGTTGTACCGGAATTTTTTTTTTTTTAACGGTTAGAACTATAATTTTGAATTCCTTCATTTTCTGATATCGTTGCCTGCCAATTATCGAATTCCTGCTTTATAAGTAACAATATTCATAACATAATTGCAATAACATAATAAATACAATCCTAAAACACTGTACAATTTTTAATAATTTATTAATGATATATGGTTAATATTTAGCCTTTATCCTTTACAACATTACCGAGATCAAACATCGAAGAAAACATTAAAATTGCTTTTAAAGTTTGAAATACAAGAATGTTATATGTTATGTTTTAAAAATAAAATACATTAAACAATACAATAAAAGCCAATAAGTAAAATTATTTATTTATTTATATTTAAAAATTTAAATAGAATAAAATGAACTACGTCGAAATGATAATACGGAGAAATCTTAGCGGAAATAGATGAAGAATAGTCTAAAAGATGGCGACTACTTTCGAGTGTTATAAGACTTCCCTTCCTTCATATGCAGCAAAGTCATCCAGCCACAAGCCTTTCACTCCGTTTCCAATTCGTCGAAAAAATCCCCAAGACCACAGTCAGCAAGGATAAGAAGGACCAAATGTAAGAAAGGACAAAAACAATTGGTACAGGGAAAGTGGAGATGAAAATACACTTTGCCAAAGTAACGCCAAAAGAATCAAACGTCATCCTTAGAAATAAGACAAATGAGGAAACATTCTGAATTATAAAAAAAAAATCGAATAAAATTCTAGCTTTGAAGATGATTCCATGGTTGACTAATAAAAAGAAAATACCGGGATCGAAACGTCAATAAACATAGAAGAAATGAACATTCAGTAGTTTATAAAATAATAATTAAGTGACCTTATTCCCAATTAAATAGTGAAGTTTAAATTTAATACTCAAAGGTCGATTAAGGAAAAGTTGTAAATATATACATATATATACATATAAAATTAAATCCGGTCCTTGGTTATAACGCTCCACTTCATCCATCTATTATGTCCAGTAACTGATAATTTTCATTGAGTGGTTCCAAAGCCTGGAAGGCTGGAAGGTTGATAGGATGGATAGCAGTTTCATCACCGAAACTAACCGCCACGGCTTCCTCTCCTCCTCAAGGGTGACGAAAGTAGACAAAATGATTTATCGCTTAAGACCGACCCCTAAAAAAGCCCCCGTCCTCAGGCCGGCGGCCATCGGGGATCAGAGAATTCCGATTAATAAAGAAGACAAAAAAAGTGGAAGGGGCGCGATTAGGAAGACGGACAAAGGGCAGGAGATAAAAGGGATAAAAGTCAATAGTCCTGGGCTCCTCCGACCTTTCCCTCGCACCTAGCAGCCCTTCGCCCTATGCTCCCGTTCTGTCTCCTATCAAAGGCTCATATCATTATTACCATCTCTTTCCCTTCAAAATAAATAACGCCTTTTTTTTTTTTTTTTTTTTTTTTTAATTACAATATAATAGAAGAAAAATCAGGTTATAAGCTGGATTAAGGGTAGGAGAGTTTGCTGCTAAAGTTGTTGCGATATCGTACAAGTTTCGATTTCCTTATAGATATCTCGATATCGCTAAATCATAATATTTATATATATATATATAAAATAGTTTTTTTATTAATAGTCTTTTAATGTGAGAATTTTCACAGAGGTATACTAGTTAAGGATATTTACCTATTATTCACCATATTAAGTCAACAAAGAAAATTCAAACTATAAAAAAAAACATTGAGAACCAAAATGGAAATTATTTTAATACGTAAGACAGAAATCAGTGAGTTTGCGGTAGGAAAGCATCCAACGTCGTTGAACTGAAAATTTAATTTTATTTGTTTGATCACGAAGGTTTTGAAGTAGTTGCCTTTCACAATTATATTTTGACTGTCCAAAATTTATCACATCGTATGCCAAGACATCTCCCAATTATATATATATATATATATATATATATATATATATATATGTATATATATATATATATATATATATAGAAAATAACTTTATTCTGGGACAAAGCCCCTTTAGAATAAAAAAATAGTACAAAATTAAAATACTACATCTGGACTAAATAAAACAACAAAAAAAAAAAGTAAAGAAAAATTTAGTTAAACAAGCTATATACAAAACACTTAAAACTATGTACAGTAGTAAAAAATTATAGGTATACACTTTTAAGAAAAAAAATCTGGTGCGCGCAACACACAACTTTCACATACCGCTCAACTTTTAACAGAAATTATTTTCTGGCCATGTTGGGCTATTATAAAATTTTTGAATTGCATTTTTAACTGAGCTAAAGCTAAAAAATTACAGCTAACAAATCATAAACACCATTAAAATAAGGAAAGTCCTATTTATTATATCATCGGTTGATTATGGTTTGTACGATCAGTTGATTATGGATTGTACGACCATTAGTTATTAAACTGTTATTATCCATTGCAAAGTTTACTAAAACGGAAGAAAGAGATTTGCAATGTCTGTCATAGTCAGATCAAAAGTTGTTACACCAATTGTAAGAGGATTCTGTTGGAATATTACAAAGGGAAAATTTATCAAATTATTCACTAATTTAATTTTCTAAAAGATTACATAATGATTTTTCGGAATAAACGGATGATAGATACCTAAATATTTAAATATAATATCAGATCTAGAGCTATTAAACTACAGTAAATGTATTTAAGGTTATAAACATATGCTTTATACATCCATGAAGTGATTTTATATTTTACTTCTTCTTTCACACAAATAAAATGAAATAGTTTTTTAAACAATGTCATTGCCTTGATTAGGTGGATTTTAAATATTTTTTCAAAATTAAAAATATATTAAAAGGTTACATTTGGTTAGTTAATTTCATTTAATTTCCTTGAAAACATGTGGTTTACGTTAAATATTATTAATTTTCAAAAATTATTATTTATAATTTTTTTGCCATTCTCCGGCACCTTCTACAACTTTCTATTTTAGACATATTTTTTTCTAAAATTCTCTGCTTTCCAACGACATATTATACGTATACCTTTTGACAAGTATTTCCGGAGATTCATTTTCGACCTGGATATGCATTTTTATTTTTTTCTCATTTATTGAATTATCAAATTCTTTCAAAAGTTATATTTAGCATATTTTCGTAACTTAGAATAACTTGAGATGATTATTTTTTTTTAAATAAACCATACCAAAGGTACTTTAGAGGAAGACGGATATGAACATTGGGCATTTAAGCCATGTAAAATGACATCAATGGGGATAAGACCTAATCGGTATTAAAGATTACTTCGTTATACATTGATACACCATTTTTGAGAAAATTATAAAAATGTGTTTCAGCGTTGATATAAAGTGGCACTTCCGGTTAGCCAAGGATCTTAGCTTATTAATAATTTATTCTCAAGTAGTACTGGAAAAATCTACAAAAAAATTTCAGCCCTTGTCAAATTGAGAGGATTCAGGGTAAGAAATGCCCGACTAATCACTTTTCAGTTAACTTTCAACATATTACGTGCAAACTGATACTTGTGTCCGACGAACCTTTTTATAGAAAGAGAACAAAATGTATAAATGAAAAATAAGATAGAGGTCGAATTTTCTATCCATTTTCCTCGTTTATAAATTGAAAATCGATTCTTAAAAAAAGAGAATATTTTAAGAGAAAAAAAACCTATTTATAAAGTTTACCACCGTTAATTAATTTAGAAGTTCCCGTGAAAAAATTATAGGAAAAGTCTTTGGACTTTATTAAGATCCCAAAATAGATAATTTTAAGAGCCACGATTATTTATTATGAATTAAGTTTTTTAAAAATTAAAATATTAATTATTAGAAGAAACGCATAAATCATTACTATTTGAATTGTGGCCAATAAAATGATTCTGAAACATAACAGTAAAGTCGATCTTGAGCAAAATCTCATGAAGTTTCCTGGCTCACTGTGTTATGCCATAAAATTCCTTGACTTTTTCTGGTTCAAAGAATTCCTGGTTTCTCTAGGTATTCCAAGTATTACATGCCCAGTAGATCTTTTAGGCAAAATTATTCAAATTGAGAGTAAATATATTATTATAATATATACTAAATAATAACTTTAATGGAATGTTTGAGACATCTCCAAAGAAAAAGAAATAACTCCGAAGTATAAAGTTTGTAAAAATAAATTCAAAAAATCTGTAAAATGTCTATTCTTGATAGAATAAATTTCTGAAAATTTGGCCTGCCTTCTTCGTAGCTTTGTATTTCCAATTAATTTTTTTTTAGTTTATTTTTTTTATTTTAATTTTTTGTACTTTAATAAATGGACATAATAAAAATAAATAAAAAGAAGTTATCCCTTTTCGTTAGCAGACGCCTCATTAGTTCGGAAGATGTACACTAAGAGAAGATACCACTAGACTATTTGATGATAAATGGCAGACTTCCATCTACACATGTCCGGGCCCATTACTAATGGTCACTCACACACACAGATGTATCCTTCAATCAGCACACTTTATTGTATGTTCGACATATGTTCCCGAATATGAGCTATGGACTGGTTCAAAAATCTAATACAATTCTGGATATAAATTGTCTTTTTCAGAGTGGATGTAAATACGTCCAGAAAAAATTTAAAATAAACCAAAAAGTACCATTATAGATAAATTATAGAAAGTAAACGCTATTCATCTCAAACAATCGATTATTTTTGGGCTACTATTTGTATTCATTTTACTTTTTTTCATGATTCCATCAATTGCTCTACGTACTTACTCTACAAACATAGTAAATAGTACTTTAGTTATTAAATCGTATCATATAAATTATTTTATTATATTTCTATTTTTATATTTATTATATTTATTATTTTATTATATTCAATTTTTATAATACGAGAAAATTCACCTCATCACAGTAAACTAGACAAAATTTGCTTCAAATGAAAGTTAAATTTTCTCATTATTGAAATAATTTAAAGAGCACTTATGCGAAACTATGCTGAGTTATGTTTTAAAAATTTCATTAATTCTTTTTTCACCACCAAATCATACTACAGATAACCCACTTTTAAAAAAAAACTTCCTTGTTTAATAAGCTTTAAGGCCATATTAATTAGGTTGAGAGTTTATTAAGAAATAAATAAGTTATTTCTTAATACACCCTCTTATTTCTTAATACACCATCTACTTAATTAATATGACATTAAATCTTATTAAACAAGAAATTTTTCTTGAAGTGGGTTATCTATAGTATAATTGGGTGGTGAAAAAAATCATAATTAATGATATTTTTAAAAACAGAACTTAGCACAGTTTACCAAAAGTCCTCTTTAAATTATTTTAACAATGAGAAAACTCTACGTCCTTTTGAGGTAAATTTTGTTTAGTTTACTGTAGAGAAATTTTTTAAGTTGTGTTTTTAAAAATATCATAAGTTATTATTTTTATGTTTTTAACCACCCAATTATACTACAGATAACCCCCTTCAAGAAAAATTTCTTGTTTAATAAGTTTTAATGTCATATTAATTAAGTAGAGGGTTTATTAATAAATAACTTATCAACTTATTTATTTCTTAATGGTTATTTCTTAATAAACCCTCAACCTAATTAATATGACCTTAAAGGTTATTAAACAAGGAAGTTTTTTAAAGGATTATCGGCAGTATAATTTGGTGGTGAAAAAAAAAAAATTTTAACTTGTTTATTGAAAAATATTACAATCTGTCTCAAATCATGAAAAAAAATTAATGAAATTTTTAAAAGAATTAATGAAATTTTTAAAACAGCATAGTTTCTCAGAAGTCCTGTTTAAATTATTTTAACAATGGGAAAACTCTACTTCTTTTTGAAGCAAATTTTGTCTAGTGTACTGTAAAGAATTTTGTATTACTTAAATTAAATAGTTTTATTTATCACGTCCTATCAACAAAAAAAAATCGTGACTAACTTTTAAAAAAAATACTTTAATATCAATTTTTTTTTAAATTTAAAATCGTCAGTTGTTTATTTCAACTTGTAGTTCATAAGATCTGCTATCGCACATTTAAATATTTCCATCTACTTACTGGGCAACCAGTGTAGTTGTTTAATTTGATTTTTTTTTCTTACTATGGTCTTTATATTCCTATAATTCGAACTATATATTTTGATATATATTTTTTTTTAATTTTAGTTTTTAGTACTGATGACCCACATGCTTGTGTCACAACGACGGCAAGCCTAACGTATAAATAATGCAAATCCTGATTGTTGTTTGTCTTTATAATTATAAATTATTTTTGAATTAATAACTAACAAAAGTTGCATTAGGGTAGAAATCGGCAATCCGATAAGAAATACATGAAAATACGTTTGGGCTCACTCAGCCCCTAGTCCTCTACTTGGACATGAGACCATGGCTTTGTTCTATAGAGTAGACTATATATAAAGACTAAGAGAGCCGAGAGATCCTCCGGAATCCAGCCTACCCTTGCCGCTGCCCGCTCATGAGGAACGCTTACATTGGACACGGTCGGTAGAGAAGAGATGTGTGAGCCACGCTCTTCTCGATATTACATGGCCTCTTAGCTCGACACATCTTTTTTGTATTTACTTCCAGTTCTGACTTCTCATCTTCAAGAGTTCTTCAACATCCAGGCCGGAAATGAGCCAGCGGTTGAAGAAATCCGCACTCCGTGATCTCCTCCTCATGTGATGTTCGGTGTCCACTGGAGCGCTACATCGGCAAAGGATGGGGCGGGATGATGATGACCAGACGGAATATCCTACGAGTTCTCCGGAGGGGCCAAAACCAGAACGAACGGACTTTGGCCGAAAGAAATGAGAAAATTAAAAAATAGCAACTCCCATCTTCTCTAACATTTCTTTAATCGTTCTTCTGAGAGATCTAGTCTATACATAATCCATTCCATCAGAACGAAAACTCCATCTCCACCTCTATATACAGCAACATTTTTATTTTTTTTAATTTTAATGAAATTCAGAACTGTATTACATGGAAAATACAACAAGTAAATGTGACAGCAAATTTTTAATGTAAAAATTTAATATACTGCACAGCAGTACATGGACCAAATGGTAATTTAAATCAATATGGTATCACAACACTTCGCGCTTGGGACATTATTTGAAGTTTTAACTGAAAGCTCAAGTCAAAATCTAACGATTGCCTGCATACCAATATTAGTTTGAAGTGTTTTTAACGAGTGACCGTAAATTCGGCGTACAATCATCGTAAAGTAAGTAGTGTTGCCCAAATGCGGGACCGAGGCGAGTCTTGGTCTTGCAAACTCAGTCTTGGTCTTGCGTAAGAGTATCGCAACAGTCTTGCAGTTACTTATTAGCTTATTACTATAGAGATATTACTGTATTTTTTTAGATAGGAGAAAGCTAACTTAGCCCGAATGAAAAATTAGAGAAGTTAAGTGCAAAAGTATATTGGTTATAACAATTATTTACATATAGTAACTAAGATTGACAAGTATTAGTAATTATTTTGCCTTAATTTTTATTCAAAAAATCGATTTTTTTTTATCAGTCCTGGTCTTGGTTTTGCAACAGTGCACTTTTGCAAGACCAAGACCGATTTTGGGCAAAACCGAAACTAGGTATATGCAATATAAAAATCACGTATAATTTTTTTGAATTCCTTATGTTTGAGTATAAGTACGTGTCCTATCAGGAATTATTTTATCACACAGCCAAGTCCTGCAATCAGGCGAGTGAAGTACTGACTTATCACCAATTTATATATTCATATTTATATATTCATGAATAATACTCCCTTATTGTGACAGGCATAAATCTAGAACTGTAAAAAAAAAAAATCAAATCTCGCAGAACATCGTCATCTAGGGAAGAAGTCCTTCCACAACCATCTTGGTCTTTTAGAGAACTGAAAATGAAATGTAACTAATATCTGTAATCCGGAGGTAAACAACACCATGTCCATTTTTGTATTTGTTATGGGGAGCCAATTTTCTATAACTAGATAGATAGATAAAAATTGTATTTGTTTTTCGGGGGTTCCTTGGCTATTGTAGAATAATATGGTTTTACAAGTTACATACATATCATTTAAATATAAATAAACTTTACAATACTTTAAATTTGGGGTTTTACATGGGTTTTACAAAACATGAAAAACATAAAACGATTATTGCATAATAATAGTTATATGAACCTGTTTATGATAGAACAATAAAAAATAAAAATATTTATATATATAAACAAAATATTACTTTTATGATAAACTAAAAACAAACACTTAATAGAACATGGGCTATGATCAACGATCAACGATACTACCATCATATAATAGTAAAGTTTATTTAATTTATCTATACAATCGATATTCAATATGGTTTCGATGTTGTGGTTATCAGAAGATTCTGAGATGAAGTTATGGAGGAATTTTAGTCTATAGTCATTGTATGCTGGGCAGTGAAGGATAATGTGATGTAGACCATTGTAAATAAATTGACTGCATGATATACAAGTTTCTTGAGACTCAATCGAAAAAGTTGTGTTTTTTGAATAGATTCTGATATGTTCTGGGTTTAAAACTCTTAATTGACTAACACATCTCAATTTATTTATATTGACTTTGAATGTAAGATAAGTTTCGGGATCGAAAGCATTGTAACTGCATAGCATTCTGTATAAAGGGTAGTTAGTTGAGTTTAAAGTTCTTAGTATGTCGGCTGAGAAATAATGGTCAATTTTCTAAAGCTATTAAAATTTGTTTCTTAGTTACTAAATTATTTAATATAAAAATGGACATGGTGTCCTTTACCCCCGGGGCACAGATATTAATACTGACGTCTCATTCTCCTTCCACTTCGCAGAGTTACTCCCGTAGGGATAGAGAGAAAGAGGGACAGGACGAACTGGAGACAGAGAGGAAGATAAGATAAGAGATGGGCACCATGAGGACCCCACTCAGCTAATCCAGGACACAAATTGGCTACAGCGGCAATGGGTCCTGTTTTCACTCAGCTCCTGCTATTTTTTATCCCCCCCTGTTCCCCTAATTCTCCTTATTGCCCCCCTCTTTACGGCCTCCTATTTACCCCAATTATCCTCCTAAAACGGGGCTTTAGTCACAATCTCGAATGATATCAGTCCTCCGGGATATTAACAACCTTCCGCTGTCAGATGTTTCAAGTTCCTCGAGGATTCTTTACATTGAAATATCTCATCGAATGGAATTTATTAATTATTTCTTTTTGACTAGCATCATTCGAATAATTTAACAGGAATTAAATTCAAATCGGGATCATTGAAATTCTTGTCATATACTTATTGACCAATTAAATAATACTAAATAGATCCGTTGTAAAAAAAATAAAAGAATGCCGTAATACTGCCTCATTGTGGTAAGAAAAGACTTAAAATTGCAAAAACTCAACGAAACCTCTCAATTTCGGCCATTTATCCAAAGACAGGGCGTTTTATAGCATTTTGGACCTTTTAAGCCGATGCAACTACAACTATGTTCCTGAGAACGATAGTTGTTATTAGTATCCAAATGGGACAAAAATTTCTTTCCTTAACTCAACATATCATTAAAAATACATTTTGTACAATATAAAAAATTGTAAAATTAATGTGGTAGAATCAGGCTTTTTATTTATACGTTATTGAAAATCTTGGAAACCCACATTTGTATTCGAATATAGAACATATCAATTAATGAAGGAAGGAGAAGGTCCGGGGTGGCGGTCATAAATAGGCTAAATAGTGGTAAAACTATTTTTATTAAAAGCCAACGTTTCCATCCGACTTTGCAGGTCTTCTTCAGGGCTAGAACGGACAAGATACAAAAAGATAGAAAATTGTGGAAGTTAAATAATATTTAGACAAAAAATTATAAACAATGTGAATAAGTTCTGTTCATTTTCCCTAAAATTGGTATCTTGAGGTTTTATTTTAAATTTAAATTTTATTTTATTTTATATTTATATTTTATTTTAATTTAATTTTTATTTTATTTTAAGTAATGTATATGTGATACTGTAATTTTCTAGGTTTTTCGCCATTACACAAACAAGTCAGCCCTATACCTGCCCTTATACTGGTTAATTTTATTCTTCCAATTTTATTTACTCATTTATTTAATTTTTTTGGTTTTCTTTTTTCTTTATTTCTCCACATTCCTTTATATATCACACTACAAAAATTGTTAGTATCTATTTACTTCAGTTTAGGATCTTATTACTTAGCTTAATCTGTTCATATTTTAATGTACTTACTTTTTATAATTTTAATAAGCTTATTCACATTGTTTATAGTTTTTTGTCTAAATATTATGTAACTTCCACAATTCTCTATCCTTTTATATCTTGTCCGTTCTAGCCCTGAAGAAGACCTGCAAAGTCGGGTCGAAACGTCGGCTTTTAATAAAAATAGTTTAGCCACTATTTAGCCTAATTATAACAGCCATCCCGGACCATCTCCTTCCTTTATAATGCAACTGTCAACTATTAAATATTCAATATCAATTAATGATGTCTCGCATCAAAAACATGCGGTGTGTGCCTATACACCGAACAGTTATAGTTTTTTATGTAGTTTTAGGCACTTCTTATCTAGTTTTGCGACGATACCCTATTATCTAACTTCTTGTATTAATATGGTACACTTACCTTGAGCTTGAGGTCCCGAACAGTGTCGGTGGATGAGACCTGTAACTCCCGCTCGCCGCGAACCCTCCGGTGCCTGGTACTTCTCCTGATGGAAGCCTCGGAGGACGCGTTGTCTCCGCCGCCAATCAGCTTGCTCGGGCCTGGGCTCTTCTTGGTCAGCTGTGCGGTGGCGCTAGTCTGCAAACCATAATGCGGATATATACATTCTTTAAATCAGCAAGGCTATAAACGGCTTAGATATGAGGTATTCGCACTTTCTTAACTCATAGACACGAAGTTGGTATCAACAACAAATATAGATTTGTAAAATGGCAAACGTGTGGTCTTTCACGATATCAAGATGGTTCTAGTCATCTTTAAGTTGGATCAACAACGTGCAACCCAACCAGAAGGTGCGGACTGCTTCACAAATCACCTTGCTTAATTGATCCCAAAATAGTATTAATAAAGGACAATGAAATAACGAGAACTTATGTTGGTGGCAGTGGTATGCGCAAATTCTCTGCGCACTACTCCACTGATGCAAATCTATATCCAAATTAACAAATCTATCTTGAAGGCACATTGTTTTACTGTTGACCTTTAAGAAAATTTCGTTCTATCCAATCGATTGGTGACGCCCTAAAGCAATATACATCATATTGCTCATACGGTAGAATAATGAGGTAAATGGGAATAATACAATTTTATAAGAGATGTAAAATATTTATTTACTATTAAATAAATCACATATTATTATTATTATTATTATTTTATAGAGAACAATCGAACAACAGTCAACAATATTGCAAGAATCTTGGAAATTAAAAAATCGACTAGTATAAAACAGAAGGTATCATTTTCACATAGACAACTTTTTTTTCACATAAATTTAACACACGGCGTGATTTGAATCAGTATAACACATCCGTTTAAACTTCGATCATATCTCTTAACCTTCACAGAAGTCAAGAACTGGAATATAGGATATGTTATACAAAAACTACGCGGGCACTCAAGGCGATAACATGATCAGAGTTCAGAGGATCACTTTCTACAGCAACTGGAGAAAAATAAATAGTTTGTTACCTTCGTATCTTAGATTTCGAACCAACCACTGAAGATGGGATCGGATATTGCAAGGATAGATGTAAACCGATGGAACAGTGTGTGGAACCCGACTGCAACACTAAATGAAGCCATTTATTAACTCTGTGGTTTACTTGTCGTGTACGGGCCACACAGCACTATATCACTATAATACCACACAGCACACCGCTCGCTGAACTGAAGGGGGTTGTTGCACTATTCTGAGATCAATAAGGGAGCAATGCACTAAGTTTAGAGCCGACGAAACGAGAAAGTTCCCTAACTCAACACTAACTCTATCGACCGAATGAATCCAGCATCGATGGATGGCGATTTATGCTGAACGACTTACTAGATTTTAGCGGAAGGTTGACACTACTGGAAGTGTATAAAACATTTAAAAAATAATACGACACTGTAGGATTTTTATATTCACAGAAGATAATGTTAGTAGAAGAATAAAAAATAAAAGCTTATAGAAGACAGAACAAAATTAACACTATCATAAAACAAAGGTAAAAATATCTACAGTTCTCCAGGAACGCTAAAATAAAGCACCAGAACACTATTCCAACAACAGAATGTCTGTATGCCAGCAAATGCCTATCGATGAACTACAAGTTGGAAAAGATGGAGATACTAAGATTTCTACACGAAGAATACGCAAGAAAAATTAACCTAATCTCGAATGATACCGACTGGGAATTTCGAAACAACAATAAAATCTTAAATGTAGAGAGAATCTCTGAGATTATGAGAAAGAGGAGGTTATCATTTCTCAACCAAAAGAATATTCTATTATCTGTGGAACAAGAAAACAACGACTTTATGGATTAAAGAACTTCATAGAAAGGTCCAACAATCGATGGGTTCCGATGTTTGACAAGGATTATTTTCGGAACATGATTCAAAGTTCGAAAAGGTTTCAAGTCGAAACAAGGAATGGAAGAGCCTAGACGGATGAAAGGAAGCAGCAACACGGCGTCCTTATGAAGGAGTGAGTACTGGAGGAAGAAGAAAGGAGAAATGAAATGGTAGAATGATCCTAAGTGGCTAATTCGTAAATAAATGAATAGAAATTGAAAATTAACTCACACGAAATAAAGGAACAGTATATCTGACGAGTAAAAAAAAAGGTAAGATCAAGATAACAAATAGATCTTCCACCCTGCCAGGGAATATAAGTAAAGTAAACAACAACAAATACTTTGCAGTATTAAACATCTTCATCAATGGGAAATAGTTGAGCCCAGAGTTGGAACAGGATTGGAGAACAAGAGGAACAGGAGCTGGAAAGATGGAGATAGATAAAGAAGGTAAATAAGTGGATTTACTTATCAGAAGGAGGCACAAGAGATAATAAATAAGGCGAGGTAATGAGATAATAAGATAGGGACAGTTCCAGTAGCTGGCAGCCATACTGCTATAACTGCTATACAGCCAGCAGCTACTGCCCGTCCCGGAGCAGATAGTCATCTCTATGCCTCTCAGATTTATAACTCAAAATTAACACCTTCACAGCTCGCAGCTCACCTTCACAAGCCAGGCCACGGCAATCCTAAATCCAACCTCTTCTCTTAATTCACATCATGTAAAAGCTAACAGTTCTGAGAGTTATTATTATATTCTAAAAGGTATATATATATATTCTAAAAGGTATATATATATATATATATATAAATATATATATATACCTTTTAGAAGTATATATATATATATTAAACAGGACCCTGGAGGTAGAAGAAGAATAGTCCTCTACATCATTACCTCATCATATCCATAAAACGTTCTACGATAAATGATTGAGAGCATATAAAAAAAATCTAATTCAAAATAACAAAAGATCTTTCATTGATCTTCAGTATCAAGTCAAAATATCGCCACATATATACAATACAAAAATCTTAAAAGTAAGAATTCAACTGCTAATTGCACCTACAGTTCATAGAAACACGTTAAGAAAAAAAATATTCTATATAATATTTGATCAGACAACTGGAAAATTCAGATTAACAGATATCGTACAATTGCGTAAACTCGTAAATTATAAAAGCATAATGGCAACTATAAAGAGATATAAGAGAGACATCGATGTAGACCACAGGTTCCGAACTGGATGCATGGACATGCAGGTGGTAAACGAAAAAATAAATAAAAATGGTGCCCATATCACAAAAAATTCACTTAAATAATTTTTTTTTTTTTTTATCCTGTAGAACAAATCCGATAGATACATAGGACTCCAGCTGGACAAACGTCTGACTTGGAATCCTTATTCAAGACTGAAACGACAAGGAACTGCTCGACGTTTCCTCTTACTCCAACACTTACTGGACAAACAATCTAAACTTGCAATTAATTACAACAGACTCATATGCATGACTATAATAAGACCTATTTGGACTCATGGAGTTGAGCTATGGGGCTCCACTAAACCATCAAATTCCTCTCGTATCCAATCTTTGCAATCCAAAATCCTTCGTAAAATCCTTAATGCTCCTTACTTTGTCACAAATAAAATAATCCACAAAGACCTTAATGTTCTATATGTTTCCGATTTGGCCAAATCCAGATACTTATCCTTCCATAATAAACTTCATAACCATCCGAATCCTCTGGTTTCTAACCTTGCTTCCTCTTCGATTCCTGATAACACTCCGAGGCGTCAGAAAAGAAGATGGCCTCGTGATCTCCTCATGTAGACATATTATTAGAGTACCATCAATGGGTAGTTTATCAACAAGCGTGTTCCATGTGATTATATTCCTTTATACACATTTACTTGATGTATTTATACTAATACAGTTGTAAATATCATAATATTATTTTTTTAAATAAAAATTTAAAAACTTTTAGTGGTCAAAAAAATGAAAATGGCTGCATGCTGACTATTTATCATCCAATTAATATATTAAATAAAAAAATATATAGATATATCCAGGTTTCTATACTCCCAGAGGTAGGCTTCTATACTATTATCCGTCGAATGCATAAGGAATAAGGATATATATCTAATATGAGAGTTTTCACTGGGGAATGTTATATAATATTATCATAATAAATCGTATTTAACAGAGCAATTGAAAGCAATAAGAAAATGTTGAAGAGAATCCAAAAAAAAAAAAATACAGATTCTTCAAACTCAGAAGTTCATGATAATTTTAATTTGTAGTTAGAAACATAAAAAGTAGAAAATTTATAACTACAAGGAGTTAAGGAAACAATAAAAATGCAAAACAATAGGATCTTAATGAAACGTTTCTACAGGCTCGTGGTTCCTACATATTCCTCGAATAGATCCCACAAATCAAACAGACCCTGCCCACCTTAAACGTATGCAAATCCCCGAATTATAGGCGATCATAGCGCCCTCTTCTTCCAACAGCTATTAATTTCTTGCGTCCCTCTTTTTTTCGGGCCTTCTTTACCCTTTTTTTCCACCCGCTTTCCGATGGCTATGTGTTATTTTTGGAAGAGGGCTGTCGCAATTAAATGCCCTACTGTTTGCTTTGGAATGATTTATCTGCTCCCTTTCTCCCACCGCAGCCGTTGAGGAGCAGGTGAAACCATCGGGAATGCTCGTTATACACGATTCATCTCCGGATTGTTCGATATAATGCGCCCATCAATACATCCTTTTTGTTCATTCCTCATAAACAATTAAGATCAACGCAGGTAAAGGCAGTATTACTTCGAGGTATACTCGAGATCTCATCCCTCATTCTGACTGAGCAAACAGAATTATTGACTTCGATCATTGGTGGTACGCAATGGATATTTTCACTATATAGGAATTACAATACGTAAGGAAATGTATTACAATCCTGAAACTTTCCAAATCGGAGTTTTCTACGGAAATTCACGTTTTGAGAAACTATAATAAAGTCTGGCAAAATTATGAGAATCGATTATATATATCATAGATTTTTTCAAAAATGGGTTTTAACAATTTTGATTAAACTCGTTATAACAATCTATAATTAAAGGGTTTCAAATTTCACATCGAAATTATCTTCATTGGAATATTCAAAATATCTTTCTCTAAAATACCTTTAGATGGTTTTAGTTAATCATAAGTTAAAACGAACTTCCTGAAATAATAGTATATGTATAACATATCGTTGCAAAACTAAAAGTTTTGGAACAGTTAATAGCTAATAAATAAGGTAATGGAGAATGACAAAAAACGTATGAATAATAATTTATGAAAACTAATATTATTGGACGGAAATGAAGTGCTTCAAACTTGGAATTATTCCAAACTATATGGAATATCTATATTAAATTGAAACTTATACAATAATTTTCGAACTTGATAAACCCGAAATTTACTGCAATCATTAAAAAAAAAACTTTGTTATTAAACTCACTCTCTCTCTCTCTCTCTCTTGTATATATATATATATACAACAAACAAAAATACCCACTCCAAGAAATGACAGAAGTTAAGGAGGATTTAGGAACTCAACGAAGCAAGATACAGACTGTACTAAAGCATTAAGATAAGATTTTAATACAAGTACAACTTTTAACCCATATAAATCAATTAATGTTAATATTAACACCTACTTTGGATGTGTTCTTAGCAAGAAATGATTCGATTTAGAAAGGGCGAGAACTCAAAGTGACGATAACAAATGAAAACTGGAACGACATTTCGAAGCAGTTAGCCCCCAATAACACTCAATACTGCCTTCATGACTTGATATTGCAGTAGTTCATTTAACTGCCTCATTCGCTTCATCTCTCTTGCGCTTTCATTTTGTAATTGTTAGAAGGATGGTGCCCGGAGCAACGCGTGATAAATCGAAGGTTTTGAGTTCCAACCCAATAAAAAATACAAAATCTGGTGCCGTGCGCGCATCACAACTTTAACTTCTTAGCAGTACAACTAACCCTCTTCTTAGCAGAAATAAGTCAGCAGACAAAGCGAAGCGAAAGTAAAAATTATAGACTCTATATTTATTTATATTTCATTTTTGGTATTTTTATTTGTATAGATACCCTCATATATAGAAATTATAATATTTATATCGCTGTAATCTATACAATTATATATTAAATAATACTAACAATAGAATTTATGAAAGAAACATATGTATATTTATACAATATTGTCAGAGTCTGTATTATATTAATTTCATGATAGGTATGGAAGCCTGTTCTAATCTTTCGGGCGAGCTCGGGTGCGCTCGTCTTCCTTGGTTCCTCAATTACAATTATTCGCCGTTACGATCTCTTATTTCTCCTTTAGTTAATTATCAAATTCTTTCAAATTTTATATTTAACCATTTTTCATATTAGAAATTAATGTAAAATGGTCAATTGTTTCAAATAAAAAAAATTAGAGGTATTTTAGAGGAAGCTAATATTGAAAATTAGCCATTTAAGCCCTGTTAAAACATCAATCAGAATAATAACCACATTTTATTTAAAACTGCTTAATTTTACACTGATATGGTGAATTTAATAAAAGTCGTGAGAACGGTTTTTGAGATAATCGTAAAAATAAGTTTAGTCCATCATATGAAGTGCCACTTCCGGTTTACTGATTTTGACGAAAAAGATGTTGTAACATCCCTAGCATATAAAAACATTAAATATGTAATTTCACTTCCGCGCGACTTTTCGTTTTTGAGCTAGACTGTTAACACACACACACACAGACCATTTTGTGGGACTTGGTTATTTGGACTCAGGGGACCCCAAAATGGTAAAATATAACCATGTTTTACAGAAAAAAATATTAAAATCTATCTCTTAAAGTATTCTTGTTCGTTTAATTACATTTAATAGGACTTCAAGAACCACTTAAACACCATTCCATATAGCTTTTTTATCGACTTAGTGATCATATTATCTTACGATTCCAGGGGAAAGCAAATTGTTATGCATGAGTTTTTAGCACCTAATTAAATGGACAAAGCCGATCTCCAGATTGGAAACGCACGAATTCCCAGAAAATTCGTAAATTAAATATTTGTAGGTTATGATAAGATAAATCTATTTACGAATTTTTAGGCGGATGTTAATAAAAGGGATAAAAAGGGATCTGTATCCCGGGCTACATTTAAATTTAAAAAAAAACTGGGCAATTTAAATAAAGTATTTTAAAATAATAAGTAAACATTTTTGGCTAGGTGTGGTTTAGATTAATTCCGGTTGCAGCATGGAGCTGCCGAACAGTAGCCTTGTACCCCTCCAGGATAAATATAAAGGAGATTGGCGGGAATGGAAGTTGATAAAGCGACGGAGAAGAAAGAGAAGACGGATCCTAAAGATTATAGGAGCCAACCGAGTGTTTATCTCACTTCGGAGCTGATAATAATAGTTGATAATTTGAAATGTTAATTCTAAATGAGAGAGGAGACCGAGAAGCTAATAAATAACACAAGGGTTTGCTATGAGAAGGAACTGGCATAGTAGTGGCTTCCCAGCCTCGGGCTATAACACTCTTTTATCTTCCATCTTCTGTACCCTTCCGCCTCCAATTATTTACTACACAACGACCTGATCAATATTTCTACTTTGATTAGCCTAAATATTAAAAAAAAAAAGACAAAAAAGTTGAGCAGCAAGGAAATCTAAGGATCAACATAGTGTTGCGAAATTCTCAGGGATAAATACAAAGGAACTTAAAATTAATTCAAATTTAAGCTTCATCTTGAGCTTAAAATGCCAACGAAATGAACAGAAAGTAGAAAAAAAAAAAAAAAAAAAAACGAACACTATGAATTAATCCTTAAAGTCAAATGTATTGGACCTATTATTCACTCAGATCAGCATTTTATTATTAAATTAAAATAAAAAAAAAAAGAAGGAAAGTCCAAAGGTTTTAATTATTTGGGAAGCGATATATATATATATATATATATATATATATATATATATATATATATATATATATATATATATATATATATATATATATATAATCTGATTTTTAAAAAATGGTTCGTCGTCTAACTGATATATATTTTTACTGTAAATAAAAATACATACACTATATCATTGTAACCCCCCTCATATCTGAAGTTCAATAATAGGGAGTATAAAAAAAAGACGGTTTTATCAAATTCAAAATTTCAAAGGACTGTAAATATTTCAATCCTATTTAATACTTGATAATCCCTTTAGAGCATTCTCTAAACTTGTTTAATTCTATTCGATTTAAACAAAAAAAGCATCAGTGTAATTATTTGATTCAAAGAAACATGAGTGAAATTCTCTTCATTTAAAGGCATTACTGGGAAAATTATTAAATATCATGGGGAAGGTGTCCTTGACCACCGCAGTGCGCGGCGTTGCTTTGAAAAATTTAGCAGTTGATATACAACGTTAGAAAGGAAGAAGAGCTCCAGGCGACCATTAATGGATGTTGATGAGGTTCTGCAGGAAGCTGTTGAGTCAAATCCGTCCACAAGTAATCGCGAACTTGCCAGGGAGTTTGGTGTATGAAAAGATACTGTTAGCCGCCATCTACTCTCCATGGGGAAGGTGAAAAAGAGCAGTAGACTGGTCCCTCAGGAACTTACTCCTCAGCAATCAGCTAAGAACTTGGAAATTTGTAAAAATTTATTGAAACATGTGATATGAGACTGCCTGATCCACTAAATATTCCAGACCTCGCACCATTGGATTAATACTTATTTAGATCCATGGCCCATTTTTTTCAAGGGGAAAAAATTGATAATTTTGCGGAAGTTGAAATTGCGGTCTAAGAGTTCTTTGACAGCCTTAAGAATGGTATCAGCGAAGGATCGAGCGATTGGCTAACAGATGGCTAATGATAGTAGATAACAATGGACTATACTTTGATTATTAATTATATTTTATATCAATATTTCAACAAATATTTGGTTGAAAAACGAGATTTTTTTTTTATAACTCGTATGATGATCGACAAGAATATTAAAAAATAAAACTAATTATAAAATAATCTCAAGTTTTAATTGACAACAGATTTCTGATCTACAAGACAATCCTCAAATCTATTTGGACCTACGTACTGGAATCGTGGGGGACAGTTTCTAACAGAATCCTCGTCTTGTGACCCTGCGCTAAATGAAGAGATGAAGAGAGAACTGAAAGTCCGAGAGCCGACTGCTTACTACGGGCTTGTAGCATTGGCATGTCCCAACAACTATTGTAAAAACGTTTTCTCCATGTATTCTAGCCTCTTCAATAATTAAGCTCTTTCATCGATGTCCAATATCCTTTGATATACAAAAGAAATAATATTTCAAATACAACACGATGATAGGTAGTAACAATCATACAATCGCCAGTAGCTAAATGAATAACCAAAAGAAAAATCCGCCGTACACTGTAGGTTTAAAATTCAGAAATTAAAGTAAAACTGAAAACGAGATAAAAATCTGTGCATAGTGTATTAAATCCAACAATTATATTTACGGGGAAACGTAATTGAAAGTTTGGAATTTTCACAGGTGTCCAATTTTCGACTTTCAATCTGCAATAGCAATATCTGTAATAACCGCATAACTTAACCCATTTGGCACAAAGAAAGGGTGGGGCATTATGGCGATACTCTTAAAAATTACACTTAACACACTGTTCTCAAATGTCACAAAAACAGACTCGATAATGTAAAAACGTCTACTCTTACCATGGGTGATAAATATTCAGGACGCAGTGCTTTTTTAAAAAATAGTTTCAGTTTTTATTTATGCCTTTCAACCCAAACATGTGGGT